TGTGTGCGCGCGCGCGTGCACGCAGAGAGCCTTGTGCGTACGTGTGCCCGCGTGAGGATGACCAAAGGAAAGGGCCCCACATGGGAGTGTGGGCAGGGGTCCCCCGGATCTTAGGGGCCCTCGTTCCCAAAGGAAACCCCCTGCGAGGTGAAGCTTGGCCTCGTAAGCTGGAACCCTCCCTGTTCCTCTAGCCTCTGCTCAGCTGGTGGGTCCCAGGCCAGTCCCTGCCTCTCCTGCCCTCAGTTTGCCGACTGTCCCATGAGGGCCTGGAGGAGGACCTTCATTAGCGTGGCTCGGCGTGGCCGGTCAGCTCCCACCTTTTGGGTGGACGTGGCGCAGGTGCACTCTGGGTGGGCGGGGCCCTCCCACCAATGGTGGGTCGGAGGCAGGTGGATCCTGCGCAGGCGCACACGGCCCAGCATACGGCGCCTGCGCGGGACCCCACCTGCCAGCAGGCCTGCGCAACCCCGGGGGGCTGGCTGTGGCCTTGGTCCTCCGTGTCCCGATCTCCACTGCCTGCTCAGTGACCCTCACGTCCTCTTAGGCCGGAGGCCAGCCCCAGTCCCGCCAGGCAGGGCCGCTGGACTGAGTGGACACGAAGACCTGGGGACTAGAGAGAAATGAAATATACCCCCACTGCCTCCTCGGCAGGCTCTCCTCGGTGACAGCCGAAGGGGACCGACTCGGGTCGCGCTGCGAAGGGTTCGGGGAGTGCGGACCTGGCCCGCTGGCCGCGCGGGCTGCGCTTGCCGGGCGATCGCCTCTCCGGGGGGCGCGGCGGTGGGACCCCCTTGAATGGCCTTCTTGTCCCTCCCGCGCTCGGCTGCGCTTGCCGGGCGATCGCCTTTCCGGGGGGCGCGGCGGTGGGACCCACTTGAATGGCCTTCTTGTCCCTCCCGCGCTCGGCTGCGCTTGGCCTCGAGCTCGAGGACTCGCTCCGGTGGATTTGTGCCTCCCTGTGAATTTCCACGTACCCCACCTTCCGGCCGCAAAACCAACTCCTTTCTTGAGTCCGCAGCAGGAAGCGAATTAAGAAAAAGAAATTAAACAAAAAATGAAGTGCGTGCAATGACCCGGGTGCACCCCGGAAGCTGTTCGGCACCAAAGTCCTGATCAGCGTGCGGCTGATCCCCGGCCCCGCCCCGGGGAAGGTGAAGACAGTGCGTGGACAGTGCCTGGCGAACGTAGATTAGAGAGAAACGGATGTCAAGGTTTCTTTTTCTTTTTTAAAGATTTTATTTATTTATTTGAGAGAGAAAGAGAGAGAGCATGAGGGGGGGAGGGTCAGAGGGAGAAGCAGACTCCCCGCCGAGCAGGGAGCCCGATGCGGGACTCGATCCCGGGACTCCAGGATCGTGACCCGAGCCGAAGGCAGTCGCCCAACCGACTGAGCCACCCAGGCGCCCCCACACTGAGGATTTCTTTTCTTTTTTTAAAGATTTTATTTATTTATTTGAGAGAGAGAGAATGAGAGAGAGGGGGGAGGGTCAGAGGGAGAAGCAGGCTCCCCGCCGAGCAGGGAGCCCGATTCGGGACTCGATCCTGGGACTCCAGGATCATGACGTGAGCCGAAGGCAGTCGCCCAACCAATTGAGCCACCCAGGCGCCCCAGATGTCAAGATTTCTTTTTCTTTTTTTAAAGATTTTATTTATTTATTTGAGAGAGAAAGAGAGAGAGCGTGAGAGGGGGAGGGTCAGAGGCAGAAGCAGACTCCCCGCCGAGCAGGGAGCCCAATGCGGGACTCGATCCCGGGACTCCAGGATCATGACCTGAGCCGAAGGCAGTCGCTTAACCGACTGAGCCACCCAGGCGCCCTGCCATCATCTTTTAAATTATGGAGTCTTACCAAAAAAACTGTGTCACTGGTGTATCTCTAGTAGGTGATTTGGCCAGGGTCTCACACTGCATGAGAGGTGGTCTTGCCAGTAGCCCCCCCTCCTCTATTCATGCTGGTCCTTAGGTTGTCTATTTGGCTAGGGCTTTCTTAGAAATTTCTGGATGAAGCAGAATGTGTGATGTGGTGGAAGCACCTCTGACTTGGTTCTGTGGTCTGGGTTTCAGCCTTTTTTTTTCTATTAATCTCTGTGTGACTTTCAACAGGTCATGTCACCCCTGGGGCCATCAGTTTCTGCCAGTGTAACCTGCTGAAGCTGGATGAGACCTAAGTGGCTGAGATCTCCAGGCACATATTTGTTCGGTCTGGTCCGATTCTCTTTGATGAGCACGAGAGAGGGCCTCTTGGAGGAGCTTTGAGAGTTTGAAAATTCATTCATTCAGTAGATATTTGTTTAACCAACTCTTGGTGCCAATAACAGTTCCAGGGGCTAGAGATACACCAGTGAACAAAACAGATCAGAACCAGTGCTGTCTCAGAGCTTACAGCGGAGCTGGAGGGGCAGAGAATAGAGACCATGACTAAGTTAAGAAGAGAGTTACCCCTGAGAAGATGGGAACTGTTATCCTGTTATTGAAACCTCAAGCAGAGAATTGGGATTGGGAGGCATGTGGAGTGGGGAGGGTTTCCCGGTGATAAGGTGGCCAGAGAAGGTCTCACAGAGGAGGTAACATTTGAGGACTCACAGGAGGTGAGCGAACAGGCCCCCTGGGTGGCTGGGAGGACAGTGGTCTGGGCAGAGGGCCAGTGGAAAGTCCCCGGTTGGGAGCGACAGTGGTGTGCTCGAGAAGAGCGGGGGGCCTGGTGCCTGGAGCCAAGGGAGGAGGGGGAGCGTCCTGGGGCACGAGGTCCGGAAGCTGGTGGGGGCAGGCCTCGTGGTCACAGTGGAAAGACGTGGGCTTTCTGTCTCTTATTCTGATGGGGGAGCGCTTTGGAGGGTCTTGGCAGAGGTGTGGCAGGATCCCTTTGGCCTCTGGGTGGATGGCAGGTTAGGGGCTGGGAGGGAAGGACGGACGCAGGGAGACCAGTTCGGAGGCTGTGGTGAACGTCCCGGTGAGAGAGGATGGTGGTGCTGCGAGAATCAGAGGGCGGGTGATGGGGATCAGGACGCGTTCAGTCTGTGACTCTCTGGGGCTGGTTCTCTCTTGGGCCAGTGACCCACTTGGCTCCGAGGGGCGGCTGCTCTCTGCAGTTGTGGGTGGCACTCTTGCCACACTTAGCTGTCAGTGGCAGGACGAAGTCACCGCCCACCGCGGTGCGAGCGCAGGCGGCCCTCCGTCGTGGGTCCGCCGGGGCCGCGAGCGCTGCGCACAGGAGGCCGTGCGGGCGGTGGGGCCTGTGGAGGGCGACGTTTGTGAGCGGGATGGAGGCAGGAAGGGCCCAGACTGAATCGGCAAGGCTGTGGGTGCTTGGGGTGGAGCTGGAGGAGAAGACAGCTCATGGTGTTGTGGCTCCGACAGCTTTCAGCTTCCAGCGGTCACAGCCCGAGGAGTCTCCGAGCCGGTGAGACATGAGCTCCACCGTCATTGTAACAGGCCGTCATCACTCATCAGCTGAGGGGAGGACTTGTTGGGGGGACAGTTCATTCGTTCAGAACGCATTCTGTGTGCTAGGTCCCGTGCTGAATGCTGAGCCAAGAGATATGGCTCTCAGAGGCTGCTGGGGTGAGGGAGACGGTAAGCACATTGGTATGTTCTTCGAAGGTCATCATCTGGGGGCATTGGCAGAAGCACAGGACCCTGTGTCAATGGAAGGCCATGCCCTTCCAGAAGAGGTCATGCCTGACCTGAGACCTGTAGGTGGAGAGGGAGCCAGCCCACAGAGATGCACAGATGCGGAGATGCGGGGTGGGCGTCAGAGCACTCCTGGCAGGGGAAGGGTGCTGTGGGGACCCTGGGGCTGGGGAGGAGGACGGCAGGAGGGGAGCCTTGTGAGAAGAGGGGTGAGAGGCGGGCAGGGCTCGGAAGGCCATAGAAAAGGGCCGCCATGAAGCACTGAAGGGTGGCGATCACCAGGGTTCTGGCCGGAGGGATGGGGCGTGGTTGCAGAATGATGAACCCCAAAGATGTGTGCATCCTTATCCCTGGAACCTGGAACCAGACCACATGACCAAAGAGTGGAAGGTGCAGATCTGCTGACCCTGAGGTGGTACCTTTTCCTGGGTGGCCTGGTGGGTCCAGTAGAATGGAGTGAGCGCTTAAAAGTGGTCAGAATCAACAGCAGATGGACGCTTGTCTTGTCGCTGGCTCTGAAAGTGGAGGCGGGGGCCATGAGCCGGGGGGTGCGGTGGCCTCCAGCATTTGGAGTGGCCTTCTGCTTGCAGCCGGCGGGAACCTCAGTCCTACAACCGCAGGAAACTGGATTCTGCCAACAGCCTGCATGAGCAGGACGTGGACTCTCCCCAGAGCGTCCAGAAATGAGTGCAGTGGCCAACACCTACACTTTAGTCCCGTGAGAACTGCCTTGGACTCTGACCTCCAGACTTTAAGATAATAAGTGTGTTTCAGGCTGTGTGTGGAGGACCGTTAGAGCAGCCACAGCAAAACCCTGAGGTGGGAGGAGGAAGGTTGGAGGAATGTGCGGGAGGGATGTTGGATGGGAAGGGTTGTGGGTAGCCCTCCGCATTTTATGCTACAGGAGAAACCAGGTTTTGCTAAAAGCATCTAGGAAATTGCAGAGCTAGGATCTAGATGTCGAGCTGCCTGACTCCCAGCCCAGGTTCTGATCCATTTTCTGTAGCTTCTACACCAACACATTCTGTCCTATAAGCTAAGCCACCATACCTCATATTTTCAACGTCTTACTAGACGCCATGACTCCATGAAGAGGGGAAACCTGCATTAGGTCCATTTTATAGGCAAAGAAACTGATGCTTAGGTGATCAGTAACTATTCCAAGCCTATACACTTAGCACACGAGAGACTTGTCCTTGTCCTTCTGGAGACCTTATGTATGTCATAAATGAAGGATTTTTTTTTTTTTTTTTTTTTTTTTTTTTTTACTGTGCTCTTTTCATGCTCTTTTGGGACTGTGTGAAACACCTTGAAATTTTATTTTTTTATTTTTTTTAAAGATTTTATTTATTTATTTGAGAGAGAGAGAGAATGAGAGACAGAGAGCACGAGAGGGAAGAGGGCAGAGGGGGAAGCAGACCCCCTGCCGAGCAGGGAGCCTGATGCGGGACTCGATCCCGGACTCCAGGATCATGACCTGAGCCGAAGGCAGTCGCTTAACCAACTGAGCCACCCAGGCGCCCCACCTTGAAATTTTATTAGAAAACATTGTCATATGATTTAAACTTGCTATGTGTATCATGTTGGTCCTGTGATGACTCAGAATTCCTTAAATGACTTTTTCCTCTCCCTTCAAACAAAATCTTAGCAGTACCACTGCAGAATACCAGTGTGAAATATCATAAAGCAGGTTATTCCAGCCAAGAATCCGAGGTGAGGCCAGCTTTAAATTGTTGAGGCACATTAAAGTCAAATCAGTGGTGAGAATGCTGACAGCTCCTCCTCAGAAAAGATGTCTCTGTGGCACATTTAAAAATCATATCCCCCAGTGAAGATGATTAAGAACTTGGACATATTCGTATCTGTGGCCACAGAGGAGAAAAAGGGATCATTTTCATCACAGGTCAGTGCTGAGCACACTGAACTCCTTTGAATAGCTGTCCCTTTCTTAATCCGTCCAAGGATTCTTAATTTATTTTGCTTATTATCAGAAGCGTCTCCCCCCTTGAGGAAACATAAAATTTATTAAGAGAATTGTAACTTAAAATATTCAGAGCACTCCTGGCATCTTTACTTAAATGGATGCAAGAAATTTTACTGCAAGAAAGTATATATTGATCCCTGTAGCTGACTTGTCATGTTTAGTATTTTTCTCTTTGCACAAGAAGAATAGCTTCTGTAATGTGAATTTAAATGATACGTCAAGCTAATAAATGTGGTTGGCCTAGCAAGTGATAAGCATAACTAACTCAATTTAAATGTCTTTTATATAAAAATAATGAACCAGTGCATTAAAGATTAAAAATGTTAATGCAATTAGCAAAAATTAGCATTCAATAAAGAAGTGTGTTTCAGTTTTGAGATGGATGATACATCATTCAATGACCAGATAAGGACTAAATTCAGGTACACTTTATTCAGCTGGCGTGTATGTTAAAAACCAAATAAATAAAAATTAAATGCTTTATTTGCCCCTTTGCAACGACGTGGGTGGAACTAGAGGGTATTATGCTAAGCGAAATAAGTCAGTCAGAGAAAGACAATTATCATATATAATCTCACTCGTATGTGGAATTTAAGAAACAAAACAGGGTCATAGGGGAAGGGAGGAAAAAATAAAACAAGACAAAACCAGAGAGGGAGACAAACCATAAGAGACTCTTAATCATAGGGAACAAACTGAGGGTTGCTGGAGGGGAGGGGTTACAGGAATGGGGTAACTGGGTGATAGACATTTAGGAGGGCACGTGATGTAATGAGCACTGGGTATTATATAAGACTGATGAATCACTGACCTCTACCTAGACATGAAACCAGTAATACATTATATGTTAAGTAATTGAATTTAAATTAAAAAAAGTAAATGCTTTATTTGAAGAAACTTTGATAAAACAGTATGTGGCATGTAGACAAAAGGACACGCAGGTCCTTGGGGACTGTGCCAGAAACCAGGGCATGAGGTGACTTAAAACATATTGTCACCTGCCTCCTTGTGGGGGAGGTAGAGGGGATGTAGCAGGTGTGACAGTGAACGTGGGACTGGAGGGGAAATGAATTTTCCTGGCTTCACTGCTAAATAAAGTGAGCATTTTTGGTTTGGGGACGCTGACTTTAAAACAGTGGAGTATACAGTGGTGTCGCTATTTGCCTTAATGTCGCTGTGGCGTCTTGTCACTCTATGCTCATCTGCAGGTGGATGGCAAGCATTCCGATGAGGCAGCCTTGATCCTCCACAGGAAGGGGTTTGACTGCCACTTCTCGAGCAGAGACACGGGGCTGCTTTGTTCCACAACCCAGGGAAAGGTGAGCTGAAAAGTGGTTTTTGCTTGTTGATTTCATGTGCTTTGAAATCCTTGCTTTCTGCTAATCATTCTGACAATAAGATAACGTTTCATTGCCTCTTCGTGGACTCATTCCCCTCAGCTGCTGTAATTTAGCTCAAGTCTCTCCATCTTAAGAAAGCACTTTCTCAACCTTCGATCTCTTCTCCTTGTCAGCATCAAAATGCACGTCTGGAACATGGGCACGTGTAGGGGCAACATTCTCCTCCATTCCTAGGCCTTCCGTTGCCAGCCGACAAAACATCCTCTCCCCACCCCCCATCCCCCAATATTCCCTCCTCTCTCACACATGCTCATGTAGGATCTAGGTCCATGAAGTCTCAGAGGGGCAAAAGCAGGTTTTATAATAACTAAAGGTGGGGTGGGGTGGGGTAGGGAAGTGGTGACACTGGCCAGTCGGGGAGTTTCACCACGGCCCCGAAGCAACCTTACTTAGCTCCAGTCAGTTGTTGTCCCAGGGGAAATGAGGGTCTAGATCTCCTGATCAAGACAGATTTGCATAGGAGTCCTCACTGTGCCAGCCAAACAGGTCTTCAGGCTGACCTGCCGGCTGCCCAGTTTTTCTGTCTCCTTTGAGCTGGTCTTTCTGATAGTTCCCTCAGGCTCTCCTTGGAAGGAAATGAACCTCCAGCCTTCTGCCTCTGGCTCTGAGCAGGTTGTGCTCAGAGAAGACAGCTGGATGGCACACAGGCAGGTCTGCCCCACGGGGCAGCTCAGCTGACCCAGCTCTTCTCCAAAACCTTACAGATAACCTGTAGATCAGACTTAAGAGATTCATTTCCAACCCTACCAACTAGAATGTGCATAGGGTCTGAAAAGGAGAGAAAAGACAATATGGTAGGGGGTCAAAATCCACTTAGGCAGATAAGCTTCTTCATTTCTCGTATCATGCCCTCCGTGGAATTGGTGCGAAGAAAGCACTGATGGTTTGGGGTTTGTTTTTCATGATATTTACGCTTTACCTTATTACTGATGATGTGAGTGTACTTGGTTGTAAGCATTTGTATATAGACATTAAGGCGTCAAGTTTTAAGGGGATTATATGGTCCAGAGAGACATGGGGTGAGGGTAGTACTTTCTCAGCAACCCCCCAACCCTGAAAATGGGACTCACTGACATGAGGAGCCTGTGTCCTTTCTCTCAGCTCTTTGGGAACAAGAAGAACGACAACTGTTAGGTGTAAATGTTGGGTGTAAGAGGATACGGATGTTTTTAAAGCTTGCTGGCTCATAGATGTGTTTTCTTTTATTGAAAAAGTGGCCCCTGCACGTGATAAGTTCTCAAGAAATTCAGAAGAAGAATGTAGAGTGAGCTGTCCTCTCCTGGTTACACTTCTCCTAGGTGTCCCTCCCAGGGTGGTCTGTGTGTCCAGGCACACATAGCTGTATCTAATCTCCTTCCTCTTCCTCTTTTTATCATTAAAAGGAAACTTCAAATACACTGTTTTACTCTCCTACTATTTTCCACTGAATAAATATATAGATGTGTTACTAATCTTTCTTCAAAGTTGACCTAACTGTGCAATTTTTTTTATCATTTATTTTCTAGATTTTGGTACAGAAGCTTTTTAGCATGTTTACTGTCGCAAGTCTCATACCTTCGTCATTATCCTTGATGCATTCACCTCCAGACGCCCGAAATATAAGTGAGATCAACTTGAGTCCCATGGAAATCAGCACATTCCGAATCCAGTTGAGATGAACCTGGCTTTCAAATTTGGATTGGGAAGCATTGTCTTTTATACACTTCTTGGTTTGACGTGCAATAAGGAAGCACATTATTTTAGCTTCTGGCTACTGTGAGGACATGAATTCTGTGATTGTTATTATAATTATTATTATTATTATTTTTTTTTTTACTAGTACAGAAAGAAAAAAAAAAAAAAAGCCATGCTATAGCCAGTTTTTCTTTAAGTTCCATCCATGAATCACCACCATCAGTATGAATCGATGCAACAATGAAGGAAGAAATGTCTAAAACAACCTCTCCACAGATTGTATCTCAGGTTAAATGCTAACTAACTATATCTGTGTCGGGAGTTGTGAAGAGATTGTTATAAGTATTCATGTTGCTGATCCTTCATTAGTTTTACAAAAATACCCATTTTTACCAAAATGGAATAAAAAGCTGAAGGGTAATAGCTAATGGCCAAAATGGTTGCAATCGTTCATACGCATTCGAAAAATTTTGTGTATTGAAATATGTGGAAAAGTGCAATCCATCAACCCTTATGATATCTGTACATCATTGATCTTCACACCTTTTTCTAATGTACCACTTGACCCCTCCCTTCTCACTCTTTGTATTTCCAGAAATAGCAGATTTTGAATCATTCAATAGTAGAAAAAGAGGCATATTTTCATTACTTGACAATGTGGGATAGGTGCAATTTATTCCATTGTCACTAAGATAGAAAAAGCAATCCCATAGGTACCATAACCTCTTTTAGGTACCACAAGGTGTCTTTTTACACAGCTCATGTGAATACAGATGTTCGGAGAGGGGTTTTCTATTTTAAAAATAACCATATCAAAATAAATGTGCCTTATTTTTTTATAAGTCTTGTTAAATCTTTTGGTGTCCATATGACTGAGGAAGGGGGAGAGGGCGGGGGTGGGGAGGAGGTGGGTACTTTCTATGACACGTAAAGTGTTATCGGTTTTGCCTGACAATGCTGGCCACATTCTGATCTGTTTCATTAAATTTGTGGTGATGTTATTCTAAACATTTTGACTATTTGAATGTACTGAGATGTCAGAAAACAAAACAAGGAAGAAAAAGTACTGTTCATTAAAATCCGCTGCTGCCAAGAAGATGGCAGCTTGAAGCAAGGATTTTGTGACATGCAAAATCCATACACTGTTTCCGTTTCACAGGAGGTAACTCTATGAAAGAATGCTTTAAAAGGGACCCTGTTTTGAAATCCACTTATAGGTAGCTCATCCTGATTTCTTTTATTAAAGAACATGTGTGTTGAGTGAATTCCAAACTTTTGTACGTGCTAACCTCAAAGTGAAGTTCCAAGCCTATGTGCCATTACAGTACTTTTGATAAAATTTATTTGGGATCATGATTAACATGACATTAACACTGAAGCAACATTAGAAACATTTAGAATATTCAGTTTTAGGATAGAAAGGATTCACTGAGTATGTACACTTTTGAAAATTCTCTTTGTGTTACCTAATAAATTTATTATTCTCTGACTTTAAACTTCCTTTTACCTCCTGCCATTCCAGCATCTTTATAGAGAAGTTGAAACCTAATTTCTGTTTCACCAGGTAGTCTGATGATCATCCTTTTTTTTTTTTTTTTTTTTTTTTTACCAAGATGCAGCTCCTACAATTATTGCTAAGTTATGTTAAGTTCATAAATTTTTTTCGCCTTTAATAATTAAGGAAACAATACTGGTGTTGATGAAGATATTATAAGGGAGTAATGTCATGCAATAAACATGTACTGTAAGTTTCCTTCCTCATTTTGGGGGATAAACAACTAAAAGAAAAAAAAAAACAAAGCACTTCCTTTTTGTGGACATCTATAGATGTTAAGATTGCCAGAAGCAAATCCCAGGAATAAGATCAGTATTTTCATTGCATCTTAAATGTAAAACCTTCCTTTGGGAGTTCACTGTGTTCTGTGGTTAAGTGGGTGTGCTTAATCATTGTGGAAATTCTGATCAGTTGAAATAAAAAATCTTGATGCAATAACAGTGGTTTTGCCACTTCTGGTTGTTTGAGATGGATCTGTCCCATGTCAGTCGGGGTCTTAGTGTGTGTTGCCACCGTTCACAGGTAAAGCAGAAATTCTCTTTAAACCAGCAAATTTCTGCTTTTTATTTTTAGAATAAATCATCAGGGAAATGAGGAGAGGATGCTTTTGCTTTGGGTTGCGGTCACGAACTGATTAATTTAGTGTCTCTGGCACACCTAAAAACCATACATTTCAGTTGTGATCTCGGTGGCATATTTGTTTGCTTGGGTTTTATTACATTTGTTACTGCAGATGTTCGGTTGAGCGAGTAGGTCATTCCTGTGATTTTTTTTTTTTTTTTTTTTTGGTAATTTGAGCTTTTTACCTGCAGTGTTTGAGAACTCGGCATTCTTGTTTTCTTCAAATACTGATTAAAATAAAATGCTATAAAATGTGTTGTGAAACATTTTAATTACCTTCCCATGTCTTTGTTGTACTTGTGTCGAAATGTTTTCACATTCCTTTGGAAGAAAATCTTTGCTTTCATTTTGATTATGTTGCTTATCTTGGAATCAAATAGGTTTTGATATTTTTCTCTTGGAAGGTTTTATATCTTTTTGGGAATATGTAATATAAGATCTCTAATAAAAGATAAATCTTACCATGTACGTAGTCCTCCAGAGTGCTGCTTAAGTCTTATTTTGTAAACAACAAGAATTAGTACATTTTGAGGGGTAGGGTGGAAGAGTGAGGGTCTGTTCTTCGTTCCTTCAAGAATGAATCACTCCACCTTCTGCCCAGTGCTAGTTGGGAAATACAGTTTTAGAGAGCAAGTGGCAGGCGGGGGTGGTGATGAGTTCGTCTGGGTTTGTGGCCACCTTTGAGTTTGGGGTCTAGGAACCTTCCAGACAGTGGTACCTGTGGGGCCTTCTGAGCCAATTGGAGGAGCAGGGTCTGGTCAGATTCCGTATATTACAGGACAGTAGTGAGAGGAAGATGACACAGGAAGCCAAGAAGTTTCCTGTGAGCTGATCAGGAGGGCGAGTGGGATCTGGAGGCACCCCGCCGGCCCCACCCAGCGCCCAGGGCGGTGGCTTTCAGAGACTTCCTTCAAAGGCGGGAGGTGGGGCGGCTGAAGGACAAATACACAGGTCTGTAGAAGACATAGATTTGAGACAGTTCTTAAAAGATGCATTTGATTCGAACAGAGACAACACGTGTGTTCCTTGGAAAAGACAGAATAAGGAAAGATGGTAACAGGAGGCATAGAGAACGAGAAATCGTTTCCTCTGCCTGGAGCAGCGCCACCCAGTAAAACTTTCTTTAATAAGGGCAAGTTCGTTATCCATGGGCTGTCCCATAGAGCAGCCACTAGCCACCTGTGGCTTTGAGCATTTGAGATGTAGTAGTGCAACTAAGGAACTGGATGTCTTATTTTAGCTTAATTAAATTTAGCAACATGTAGCCACTGTTTCAGTACCGGTCTGTACATGGTATGCACAGGACAGTAGTAGGAAATGCAACCAAATATGTAAGTTAAGTTCACTTGTGCTAGAATCCTGCTACTGAGTGTGGTTCTCAGACCAGAAGCTGTGACATCACCTGGAAACTGGTTAGACAAGCAGAATCCCAGGCCCCACCTCAGACCTCCCGAGTCACAATCTGCACTTTACAAAGATCCCTAGAGGATTCACATGCACACTAAAGCACTGGCCTAGAACATCCCCAGGGAGTAATTTCTCTCTGCTCTTACCGAACTTTTCCAAGTAGCTCTTGACCGTAACTCCTATACCTCACAGTCTCTAGGAAGCATCCCATAATACCTGCCTGCTTGTCCCACTGCCACCCAATTCCAAGTCACCTTCGTGCACCTGGGACTCTGCCTTACAAAAGAGTTGTAAGAGGGCTCCTGCCCCTTATGTCTCTTTTTTTTCACACAGAAGCCAGAAAATAAAAGAAAGTAAAATTTGAAAAATATCTTCCCTCTTGAAAACTGTGTGTTTCCCGTTACACCTGGAATAACATACAACCTTTCACCATGGCCAGAAGCCGTGCCTGGCTTGGTCCGTGTCCTTCTCCTTCATCTCAACTCTGAGAAGGGGGCGAGGGTGTTTAAGAAATCCTTTCCCGACCCAAATCAGCTTTATCTCCCACCACGCCCCCTTCTGACTGTTGTCTAGGATCCTTATGGGTCTCTAACATGCCAAGATTATCCCTCTTGGGGGCTTTGTACTTGTTCCTTCTGCTTCAAACTTGCTCTCAAATCCTCCCCTGGCAGGCACCTTATTATTCTGGTTTAATTCAAGCATCATCTTCTCAAGAATCTTCCTTGACCAGCCAATTTAAACCAGTCCCACCTCCACTCCCTCACTGAATATTTTTATTACACTGCTTCCTTTCTGCTTAAACAGAGTCAAATTTGAAATGATGTAGTTTGCCTTCCCCACCAGAATATAAGCTCTCCTGAAGGCAAGAACCCCAGCATTTATTCAGCATTGCATCCTCACACTTGGAACAGCAGGCGTTCGGAAGATATTTGTTCAATAAATGAATGAAAATATGTGTACCACCAGTAAATGTTGTGAAACAAGAATTATAATTTTCAGAATTACAATTTTTCCAAATCCCTTACATCTTAATCTGCTCATGTTATTTTCCTGCTCAAAAGCCTTCAGGAAGTTCCCATTACCAGAAATTAAAGTATAGAGGTTTCAAACTGCATTCCTAATCTCCCTGAATTATGTGACCTCCTTATGGAAGATACTGTCGTTGCTTAATGACCAGTCATTGCCCCTCTGCCTTCCATGCTAATAAACCCTGATTTTATTCATAATCAGATACCCAGGAGCTTCAGGATGTGAATTGTTCTTGATCTAAATTAGTCATGAGAATTTTCTTCTCCAGGCTGGATGATGAATTTAGGAATTGTCATGTGACACAATTTTGGCCAATGGGAAGTCAGTTGGGGACTCCTGGGGGAGGCCTCCTTCCTCTTCAGAAGGAGGGAGCATCTTACCCTCAGAGCGCAATGTTTAAAGGTAGTATTGGTGTAACTGTTGATGCTTGGGCTGCTGCAGCCACTTTTGCAACCTTGCGGTGGCAAGCCTGAGGACAAAAGTCAACTAGACGACCAAGTCAAAAATGAGTAGAGCCTGGGTCCCTGATGATATTGAGCAGCTGAATGAACCAACTCCAACCTTCTCGTTATGTGAAATAATGCCACCTTGCTAAATGTTTAAGCCATTTGAGCTTAGTGTTTTGTTAGAAAGAGCTAAAAACACTTAAACTGGTGGTTCTCACCACTGCCCCAGTGCTGTGCTTTCTCCGTTAGGTACTTTCCTGGACGGGGGCGTGTGTACTTGCACAACTAAGACTCGGTCGTAGTAGGTTCCTCAGAACACATCCTCTTACGTTGTCCCTGCTGCTCCCACCACCTTGCATATTTTGTTCAATATGTTTAATAAAATTGTGTTTAATTAATTATATCGTGAAGGAATTTTTTTCAAATGTAAGGAAGAAGAAGGTTTTTAAAAAATGATAAGTGAGTTAAGGATGTGTGTACTAGCAACTTGCCCAAAGATTGCAAAGTTCCTTTGGCACAGAGTCAGATTCACTTCAAGTGTGGGATTGGGGCTGGCTCCTGTGTACCAAGATGAACCTTCCAAATGTCAAACAAAATCTGGAAGGCAGAGGAGAAAAGGACCAAGGGGTTGGGGTGGGAACAACGAGTCAATGGGACTAGCTCCTTTGAAGTACGCCAGCTAACGCTTTAAATATTTTAATATTTTTTCCCAATAAATGTCTATCATTGAAAGATTATAAGTGAATTTCTGAATCTCCGAACAGGCAAAGGAGGGAAATTGGAAGAGTGCTGTTTAAAAGGGCATATTTTAAGGGCTTTGGATGGAGCCTAGAGTTCTTGGCTCCCATGCTCCATATAGCTTCCCAACTTTTTTATTCACAGGCTTAGCCTTGGGGCTCATTTTCTAGTCCCAAATCTGAGTAGCGTTGCTACCAAGCAAGATGTGTCTCTAGGGTCTGGATGTATAAAACTCTTCACTAAACCAAAGGTAGCCTTCGTTGGTTGGCTTTCAAAGCATGATCTGAAGTTTCATCAAGGTCTTTGTTTTGGTCCAAAACTCCCCTCTGGAGCAAAAGATCAGAGCACTTGCTTTTCTTGAGACAGATTTCCTTGCCACACGTAGGACTGAAATCATTCTGGGCTGCCTGTATGGAAGTGAGTTTTCAAGAAAAACAATTTGACTCATTCATTTGTCTTCCTAAATGGATTTTTTAAGTGCAGTTAATAAGATTACTTTGAAGTTAAAATCTATTTTCTTAGGTAAAAACTACAAATTAATCCCATTTAATTTATGGGGCTCCCCTTAATAGAGCCTGAAGGTAATCTGTTTTAGATTTTGCACTGAGCTTTCAATAAACATTAACTGAAGTTGTCATTTGGGCAGGGTACCTGTGCTAGGCTCCGAGGGAAAAGGATTTTAATAATCTTACCCTGTGGTCTAGTAAAGGAGAGAAGAAGTCCTGTATGGAGTCAAGAAGCCATACGATCAGAGAGCAAGGGAGTCACCTCAGCGCTGACTGCACGGGTGATGGATATTTGGATACAGGGGAAGGAGAGTTGGCTTCTGCCCCGAGTGATGCAGAGGGACAGCAGGGAGGTGGGAGGCTCTGAGCTGAGCCCGGAAGGATGGACGCATATCACCTACCAGGTGTGGGAGAGGAGGTGGCAAGGCACGAATGGCACCAAAAGTAGTTATCTCAAATCTGGCGGAAGTTTCATGAAGGGAAATCACTGGAAGTTAGACTGGAAGTGTCTTTGCTGAATTTAAAGACCCTCTGTAATGTGTATCTAAGCTTTGGACCCCACCGAAGAGGACGGATATGTGGTAGTGTGCCCATGAAGGTTGATCTGTTGGCACATTGAAGAAAGTGAAAGGAAAGAAACACGTGTGTCATTTTCAGGAAACTTTAATACAATGTCACATAGTTGCCAAAATTGTGAAGAAAAGGACACCTGTATCTCTGATTTTGTGATACTTTTTTTTTTTAAGATTTTATTTATTTATTTGACAGAGAGAGACAGAGCAAGAGAGGGAACACAAGCAGGGGGAGTGGGAGAGGGAGAAACAGGCTCCGCGCAGAGCAGGGAGCCCAATGCGGGACTCGATCCCAGGACCCTGGGATCATGACCTGAGTTGAAGGCAGTCGCTTAACCAACTGAGCCACCCAGGCGCCCTGATTTTGTGATACTTTTATTGGAGCCATGCGCTGGTGCATTAAGGCAATTATGAAATGGATATTTCTTATATATGAACGTGTTGACTTCAGAGCTCCGTGGCAATGATACGGTGAAGACTTCCAGTGTCGAATCCAAGCTTGGACAGAACAATTTTACAGGGTATTTCATTAGTTTACAGTCAATCTACTTCAGGACTGTCTCTAGGGTTTAATTTGTCAACCATAAATTCAGGAATATTTGTCACCTAGATAAGAGGTTAAAGAATTAATGAGACACATTATTAAATACTTTCAGCTTTAAAAGGGTTTAGTATTTTAAAGTTTAGTAGAACCTTGTCATAATGCAATCTCTGGGGCCTGTGTCATTGAAATGTAATAATGATGAAGTTTTATAATTCAGTA